ACTTAAGCTTTTTTTTGTACTGACAACTGACTAACTTTAAAAAGTTGGTCTTAAATATGGCACTTAACATTGGTTTTTCCTCAATCACCACTCTTTTGTATCACTGCTTCTACTATTATTTCAAATTTTTCTTTTACCTTGTCTTTTTCTCTTAGTAATTTATATAGTAAGTTATTTACGGGTATAGTTTGATGTGATATTTTAATGGATTTGGTACATTTGTAAAAGCGTTTTAATTTTCACTCTTGCTAACAGGTGAATAAGCAATTCTTATTATACAACTGAAAAAAAATATGCCTGCAAAAAAAGCTTTTTAAAACTTATTTTCAAAATGTTGTACCTATTTTAGATTCAATTAAAAAACCTTTTTGACTGTTTTTTGATTAAAATATTTGAACAGTAAAAAATGCGAATATTTATGACCATTAGAGTGTTTTTGCTGGTTTTTTGCTCTTCGCTATCATGCATTACCAACAGAAGTTGAAAAAGAAGTAATTTTTATTTGCATGTTTATTTCTTTCTTTCTTTTTTTTTTTCTACGTAAGACGAAGAGGGATATAATAGAGTGAAAGGAGTCCGAAGAAACAAACGTACCTTAAAACAAAGTAAGTCTGATATTTCTGCAAACTTTTCAATTTTTTCTGTTTCTTTATACTAAAAAGTTTTGGAGAGAATGGGAGAGACGGAGGGAGAGGTGACAAAACGAGGGGAAACAGAGAAGTGGCTAAAGTAGATGAAGAGTTAAATTCTTTTTATGACTAATAATGTCTCTTGCTAAGAGCACAGTGTGTTTGCCAAAGACGACAGTTCGGCGCTATCTTTCAGTCCTTTCTTAAGTTTTACATTCCCTCACTGCATCGGGTTATAAAGTTCATTTTTGTCAAAAATGCGGTGTGCACTTATTTTACGAACTGCTACATTTATTTAAACAAGTGTCAGTGAAAAAGCGGTAAGGGAAGAAGATGAAGCGATAGAGGAAGACGAAGTTGACGACAGTTGTAGAAATAGCGAAGATAAAGGAAAATTATTTAAGAAAAATTTGATGAGCATTAACTATCCCCTATCTTCTTTCCCCCTTTTTCACCCCCTCCAACCGCTTCAAATAATACTTTCTTGATTTTCGCTTCTCTATTCATAATAGTTTTTTAATTTTATGTATTATTTTGAAATAACATCTTTGTCTTCCCTATTCCATCATCAAAAAAAAATTTTGCAAAAATAACTGTATCAAGCTTTTGCTGGGAGGGAAAAACTTTGTCACAAATTCATCTTTATCGAGCAGTAACAATAATTAAAGGGATTTTTCAAGTTACTACTGTCACCTGCATCATCGCCGTCGTTGTTACAGTAGGTGTTAGTCATTGCTGACGAAAACAACAACAACGGGAACAAAAACAGTTACTGTTGCAACCGTCAGTATACCATTAATGACTGTTGCTTATATATTTCGTTAGGTGAGTCATTTACTGCGAGCAACAGAAAAAAGCTTTTTAGAATTGTTGTGTCAGAGTTTAATGCTTCTCAAATTACATAACTTTTAAAAAAGATTCGTTGTCGTCGTCGTCGTCGTCGCCATTTTTACCTTTTGTTCCCTAAATAAACGTGAGGCGAACAAAGTGTAACTGCAAAAAAAAAAAAAAAAAGAACGGAAAAATTTATTTTTTGGCACCGCTAACGGTGTTACTTTAGTTGGCTGCTTGGGGGGAGTGCTGTTGATGGAAAACAAAAAGCAAATCAAACAAATATAAATACGCACACGAAACCAAACATAAATTTGGAAAAACAAAAAAAAGTAGATGTGTAAGTGCTGCTGCTGCCCATCAATTGAATCTATGTACACGGCATGTGTGTGTGTATGTTATGTGGTGAACTGAGTGCCCCGTTATGCTACCGTTTTTGTTGTCTGTCGACGATAAGCTGTCATTGTTTGAATATATGATCGGTTATAGGGCTGAAAGTGAAAAAAAAATTCCAATTTTTCTCTTACTTTTCTTCTTTTATATTGAGTAAAATCACTTTTTATGTTATTGCTGTTTTTATTATTGCTGCGTTTTTAACTGGCAAGTTAGTTAGCAATAGGCTGAAGAACTGTAAAAACTGAAAAAAAAAAGAGGCACTGAAACAAGAAGTTGAAATATCAGTATCAGATATGATGACGCAGATTTGATGGAAACGGTGGGTTGGATTGGTGTTGTTGTTGCTAAAATGACATCTGTATAACATCTCCTGAAACAGAAGAAAGAATTGAACACAATGAAAAACATCTCAGGGGAGGCTTAAAAGTTGTTCATAATAACCAGCAGATTTGGAGTTTGCTTAGCAACAAAAATAATTAGAGCACTCCAGTTTACTACGTGATCTAAACACTTTTCTTCTTTGCCGAGCCATTTCGTAATTGTGTCACAAAATATTGACTGATTTTGGTCGACAATCTACTCTCTCACTACAATACCTGCGTTAAGCTTAAATTGTGATCTGGGTCTATTATTTGTTTGTTGTCCGTCCAGAATGCTGCTCCTACATGTGAAGCTTCTTGTAATCACGCTTACAGGGTTTTATGACAAGAGCGGAAATACAGAGTTCCGGTCCGGTCCGTTTAATGGTTTTTGCAACTTTCTTCTCTTCACAAAGTTTGATCTAACTTTGACATTTTACTAGCAATTCGATAAATGGGTTTTGGTCGGGAAAAAAACAATTTTGTGTCTTTATCTGAGTGGCCAGGAAAGGCTACGATTTTTTTTAACTCGAAAAGGTGGTAGAGAAAAGTTAAGCATGTTGCTCAACAAGGAAGAAAACAGCAATTTCTTGCCCCATACCCGAATGACCGTACAGCTTCGTCATTTCGTTTCATTCGTCAATGACGACTGATATATTGTACACAGCGTAACATTTTGTTCATACAGCAGATCAAACAGTTAAGCTTAAAGTTCCTCCGACCTTTTGGCATTTTTTTCCTTTACTTCTTCTTCAACTCTTTCCAATCACTTCCTCACTTACCTTCTTCCTAAATACACAAACAACAACAAACTCCAATCTTAAGCCCGCAGTTTCGTTCGGTCTCGGTCTGTTCGCTTCCTGGAGTATTGTTTATACGTGAACGAGAAAAAAAAAGAATAAGCAACAATGGGCAGGAAAAGCAACAGTTACAATCTAACAGTTCTTTAAAAATCACCATACTCTTTTTTGATTCGTTTGTTTCTTCCTTCAAAAACCACATTGCCGACAAAAGAAATGGAGGTTTTACACTCCATTGAATTTTTGCAATTGCTGTTTTTTGCCTTTTCACTTTTAACAAAATCGATAACCATTTATAATATAGAAACCCTCTTTTAAACTACTGTAGTCTGTTTCCAATCCGTTTTTCATCAAACGCTTGCTTAAGCAGGAGAAACTTTTGCAGTTGAGAAATGGGAATTTTGACTCACAGGGTGGGTGTTTTGTGATACTGAGCAACAGTGACGATAGTGGTATAAACATCTTCTCAATTGAAAATTTATAACTCTATGTAGCTTTTTTCTAAATGACATTAAACTAAAATAAAAAAAAAAAACACATTGGGATCATCCTCATAAACCTCCAATTTTTTTGCAATTACGAACGGTCTAGAAGTGTCGGTAATGATCAGGGTAATGATAGTGAATGCTTAAAAAAAAATTTTTTTTTGCTGCAAAGTTTCAATTTTTTTCCCTAAATCACTTGCTTTTTCTTTTTTTTTTCACTTAAGAATTTGTTTTTCAATGTAAACAATGAATTGCATAACTGCGCAAAAATCGAGTTTTTTTTAGCTGTTGTCTGTTGCCGTCTTTACTACCGTTTTGCTTCTTAAAATTTTTACAGAAGTGTCGTTCAAATTAATAATACTCTTTTTGATACAAAAAAAGTCAAAGAAAAAAACGAGGGCGAATAAAAGCTAAACTGACGGCAAGGAAAAGTGGATGAACATTTAAAGCTGAATATAACATTGGCAGCATAAAAAAATTGATACTGATAAAATGATTCACCCCAACATCTTGTCTGCCCATTTCTTTCACTGCTACATTTCGAGAAAAATATCTTTGTGAAAACTTGTCAAAGATGATTACCCAGCGTGGAATTCAAAACTGAATATTGCATTTTTGCAATTTCGAGGACATTATTATCACCAAATAAAGTATTTCACACCCTAAATTCCCTCTTAATAAACCAAGTGTGACACAGTTACTGACAGCTTCTTTGACCACATACATGTAGCAGTCAATAGCATTCCAGAAGTTGTTGTCGTCGTCAGCTCGTGGTTTCTATCGCTTGTGTTGTTGTTGTTGCCGTTGTTGTCGTTATTTTTAACATTATTTGAAAAGATTTGACAATAACACTTTTCTTTAACAATCACTGAATTTTTTTTCTATAACTGAACAGCTTAAATACTGCTCTCGTTCAATACGTTTTTATATAAAATTCATCTATCGAGTATACAAAACTGTGTCAAATTTAACAAGCATATTGAAAAAAATAATAATCTTTTTTTTTTTATTTTTTAGTTCACACTGTGTTCTTCAGTAGTCTTCTTAGAACCGAAGAAGTCTTCACGAAAATGCTTCATTATTTATTCTTACTTATCTGTTCTGTCTCCATCAAGTTAGTTTACTTGGTTAATTTTACCTTCACTTTTTTCTCAGCTGTTCATCAAAGTTTTTTCCTAAATTTATTTAATTTCTTTTAATTTATCACTTTAATTTTTTTTCGCACCAATCTTTTTTTTCTTTTGGTCTTCAAATGGCAACCAGTAAGTTTCAAATGATAACTGTGAAAAGTAACCTTTGAAAAAAATTGATTTAATACACAACGTAGTAATATCATAGTTTACTAATTAGATCATTACACAATTTACAGTGGTTTTGTAATTCGAAATACATCATCGATTCGAGATTGTACCTATATAAATTGCGATATAGATGAATATGAAAAACTGTCTACTGAAATTGCACTTGAAAATGACGAAGTAAAACAGTGCAGTATATGTGATGACTGTCAACGAAATGGATACAGGTAATTTTCGTCTTTCCTTATTTGTATTTTCGAAACAGTACTAAAAATTATTTAGCCAATTTTCCTGTAAAAGCAAAAATGCTTAGAAGAATTAGTGGACAATGAAATAAAATACATTAGTACAACAATTTAAGCATCTGCCTTCGCTCACGATCCGTTGAAAGCCATGGCAGCAGAAGTTGTAAGTGCTTACATTCGGTACCAAAGTTTTGTGGTCGACATTTCAACGATAATATGCAAGGATATGCTATTTGCGTACAGAGCTGTTAGTTATTACTTAATTATTACTGTACAGTAATTAAGGTTTTTTATTAGAATTAACAATTTTTTCAAAGAAATAAAATTATGAAAATTGAACGATTTTTGTTTGGGAGTGAACATTTTTGTTTTTATGATTGCGACAGATGAACATTGTTTAGATCAGCTTATTTGTAACATTTATTCGTTGATACAACTGAATTATAAAGTATGTTTGCTTTTGTTTTTTGATACAATATAAAATAAAAGCAAAGAATTCTTTAGGAAACAGATTTTTTAATGAAAAAAAATTTTTTTATGTTGAACTCAATCTAGCACCGGTTTAGCACTACGACATCCGCCAAAACTGGGTTTAGAAAATAAAAATGATTCTGTTATTGCTGTTGTACCAACATTTTGGTCTGAACCCTACTGGAAGGAACTGAAGATACTAAACCTTACTATTCATTATCAATTTCTTGTAGAGGTATTGTTTTTTTTTCTAACAGTTTTCGCACTTAATTGTGCTATAAGTGCATTCAAAGTTAGCGCAAAGTATTAATTGCAGGACAAGTCGGCATGCCAGGGAGATGTTGAAAAAGTTATAGACAGTGATTTGTACAACTGTACAGCCAGTATTGCGGTGGATGACAGTAATGCAGAACAACCAGTCGACTTTGTTGATGGCGATGACAACGACGTTGGCGACGATGAGCAGAAGATGAATTTTTCAACTGTAATGTTTCGTTCAG